TCATTTACTTGGGGCTTTAATTTCTCTCATCAGTTTTCAGCATACGGATCTTGCATACAGTTTGTTAAATTTATATCTATTTCAGTTTTAACTGCCATGTAAATGGTACTGACTTTATTTTATTTTATTTTATTTATTTATTTTTGGCTGCGTGGAGTCTTCGTTGCTGCACGCGGGCCTTCTCTAGTTGCGGCGAGCGGGGGCTTCTCTTCGTTGCGGTGCGCAGGCTTCTCATTGCGGGGGCTTCGCTTGTTGCAGAGCACGGGCTCTAGGCGCAAGGGTTTCAGTAGCTGCAGCACGTGGGCTCAGTAGTTGTGGCTCGCGGGCTGTAGAGCGCAGGCTCAGTAGTTGTGGCGCACGGGCTTAGTTGCTCCGCGGCATGTGGGATCTTCCCAGACCAGGGCTCGAACCCATGTCCCCTGCATTGGCAGGTGGATTCTTAACCACTGTGCCAGCAGGGAAGCCCCAGTACTAAATTTTTCATTTCAATTTCCAGTTGTCCATTGTTTCAAAATATAATTGACTTCTGTGTTTTGATCTTGTATCCTATGATCTTGCTAATTTCAGTTCTAGGAGTATATAGTTGGTAGACTGAGGAATTTTCTACATGGATGATCATATTGTCTGTGAAAAGAGAGAGGTTTTTTTGTTTTGTTTGGTTTTGTTTTCCTTTTCCATCTGTATGCCTTTGATTTCTGTTTATTGGATTACTGCACCAGCTTGTCCTTCCAGAATAGGAATGGCAAGAAAGACACCTTTGCTTCGTTGCTGATTTTAGGGGAAAGCATTCAGTGTTTCATTTTAAATAAGTTGTTGGTTGTAGGTGATTTACAGATGCTCCTTAGCAAGTTTAGTACGTTCCTTTTAATTCCTAGTTTTGAGGGGTTTTTTTAACCACTATTGGAGGTTGAATTTTGTCAAATTCTTTTTCTAAATCTATTAAGATGATTATATTTTTAAAATTCTATTGATAATGTTGAATTACCCTGATTGATATTCAAATACTGAACCAGCCTTATGTTTATAAGATAAACCCCACTTGATTAGGATAAATTGTGATTTTGACATATTGCTGAATTTGACTTTCTAATATTTTATTAAGGGTTTTTGCACCTGTGTTCTCAGGGATATTTGGCCTGTAGTTTTCTTTTTTTTTTTCAACATCTGTTTCTTATTTTGGTGTTAGGATAATGCTTTACAATGTCTTTTATTTCATTCTTCAAATGCTTGGTAGAATTAACCAGTGAACCTTATATGCTTAGAGGTTTTTTTGTTGGAAGGGTTTAATTTTGTATTCAAATATTTGATAGCTCTTTGACTACTCAGGTCATCTGTTTCTTCTTGAGTAGATTGGAAGTGTGTTTCTTTTAAAGAATTTGTTCATTTCATCTAAGTTGTTGAATTAATGAGCATAAAGATACTCAAAATGCTCTTCTATTCTTTTAATCTCAGTAGGGTTTATAGAGGCGTCTCGTGATACTGGTGATGTTGGTAATTTGTGATTTCTGTCTATTCTTGATCAGTCTGGCTAGGAGTTTATTGATATTTCAAAGAACCAGCTTTTGGATTCATTGATTTCCTCAATTATTGTTTATTTTTATTTCATTGATTTCTGCTCTTTTTCTTTACTGTTTCTTTCCATAGGTTTAATTTACTCTCACAGATTCTTAAGGTAGAAGTTTAGATTCTAATATAAACATCTAAATGCTGTAAATTCCCCTCTAACACTTCTGCATCCCCAAATATTGATATGTCGTGTTTTTCACTTTCATTAAACTGAAAATGCTTTCTAACTTTCCATGTGATTTCCTCTTTAACTCATGGGTTATTTTGAAATGTGCTCCTTAATCTTGAAGTTTTTAGGGATTTTCCACATATCTTTCTGTCATTAATTTCAAGTTTAATTCTGTTGGGTCATAAAACATACTTTTCGTGATTTCAGTTATTTTTAACTTGTTTAGGTTTGTTTTATATGACATGTATATTTCAAATATGTCCACCTCAGTTAAGTTCCATATGTGCTTGAAAAGAATGTGTAGTATGTTGTTATTGGGTAGATTTCAAAAGAAATATTACGTAGGTCAAGTTACTTGATGATGTGGTTCTTGTAGATCCTTACTGATGTTCTTTGTCTACCTCTTTTTTTTTTAAATAAAGAAGTGTTGAAGTCGCCAACTATACTAATAGATTTGTCTAGTTTTTACTTTCAGTTTTTTCAGTTTTGCCTTTTGTACTTTGAAGCTCTGTTGCATCTGCATTTAGGATTGCTGAGTCTTCTTGGTGAATAGATCACGTCATCATTATATAATATCCCTCTTTATCATTGGTTTTATTCCTTGGTAGGGTATTTACTTTGACTGATATTAATATAACCACTCCAGGTTCATCTTAATTAGTGTTTCATGTATTTTTTTCCATTCTCTTACTTTTAAGCTATTTGTGTCCTCATATTCAAAGTGGGGTTGTTTTAAACACCGTGTAGTTGGGTCTCGCTCTTCATCCAACTGATAATCTCTCTTTTATTGGCTTATACAATAAAATATATTGACAATATATTACATTATATATTTAATGTAACTGTCGATATGATGGGATTAAAACCTGCCGTCTTGCTAATTGTTTTCTATTTGTTCTCTCTTATCTTTTTCCTTTTCTCTTCCTTTTGCCTGCCTGCTTTCTGATTCATTAGATATTTTTACAATTACATTATTTTTTCTACTCTCGCCTTATTTATATCTCTTTTTCAAATCTGTTTAGTGATTACTCTGGAGTTTAAATATATATATCATTCATTAACTACAATGTATCTTGAAATCCATTGTGTGAATAATGTAGAGACCTTGTGACAGTATACCTTCAATCCCTTCTTCCCACCTTTTGTGCGATTGTGGTCAGTCATTTTATTCTTACCTATGTTATAAGCCCACAATAAATTGCTACTATTTTTTGAGAGCCAAAATAAGAAAAACGTACATTATATTTACTTCATTTTAACTATTTCCAGAAGTCATCAATTCTTTGCATAGATCTAAAGTTTTGGTGTCTGATATCATATTCCTTTAACATTTGTCATAGTGCATGCAGGTCTGCCAGTAATGAATTCTCTCAGTTTTTGTCTTTCTGAAAATGTCTTTATTTTGCTTTCATATTTAGAAGGTATTTTCACAGAATATAGAATTCCGGGGTGATAGATTTTTCTATCAGTATTTTAAAGATATCACCCCATTACCTTCTGGCTCACATAGTTTCTGATGAGAAGGGCTGTTATTCTTGTTTCTGTGTCTTACATGCATTGTACCTTTTTGTGTACCTGCAGCACAGACTTTCTATATACTCCCTTGCTAGCCCACATTCAGCCTTCAGCAATTCATTAAGAATTTCGCTGAATTTTCCCAATCGTGTGGTGTCCATTGTTCTTTCTCTCATGCTCTGTCACAGGCGAGCCCATGTTCACATTCCTACTCCTTGGGGAGGTCCGTCTTTTCTTATATTTTAGACGCTTGGTTGCCCTGTGACCTCAGCTTCCTTACGGGCTCAAGAAAAGTTCGGACTCTATCGTTTGTTCAGCTTTTTCTCATGCTTAATGGCTGCGATGTTCTTTCCAACTTTCTACAGCCTAGGCAAAGCAATCCCCGTGGCCATTTTTAGTCCACAAATTTTGGATGGGTGCTGAGTGAGAAGTGGGACAGTCTTCTTGGTGACTTACTGAGGGAGGGACCCAGAGATAGCGCAGCCAGAGCAGATGGGAAAAGACAGGTGACTTGGAGCGTGACTGGAGGGGCCTGGACGAATTCTATGTTTTTCACCTCTGCCTAATGAGATGAGCTTCTGACGAAGAGTGTAATGAAAGGTGTATAGTAATTTTTAACAGGACCATGCTCTGTCCTCACGTGTTTTGTGCCAAGAGACTCTTGTCTTTGTTTCTGTACCTTAAGCCAAAGGATCCTTTGGGATTCAGTGTCTTTCTTTTGAAACAAGCTCCTGAAGAACCAGGACCTTCGTTTGCATCCTGCAAAAAGTTGCTGTGGCACAGCCAGTGGACTAGTACCCTCTCCAGGGGCCACTGAGGTTATCGTCCTTAAAAAGCTGGCCATGTCACGTCACTGCTGTTTTCCAAGGCTTTTGATTCCCCATTGCCTACCGTATACACTGTTGTCCACTGTGTTTGGCATGTGAGGCAATCCCCACAGTGACCTGTCTACTTCCTCCGCCCCTCTTACCCCCTGGGCCCCATGTCCAGCCATGCTCACTGTTTTCTCACCATTCACCAGGTGTCTTCTGATGTGAGGCCTTCCATGCTTCCCTAGGGCAGAGGCTCTGCCCTGTGTGTTTTCTAGAGTAGCTTGTCTATTTCAGTTCTATGAGTGCCTCCCCTAGAATATGACTTCCTTGAAGACAGGCCACCGGGCAGGTATATAATTGGGTTCGGTAGCTGTTCAATAAAAGAAGTGGAAAGTGGAAATTTTTTAAATGGTAATTTCTATGGCAGACAAAGAGAAATTTAGCCTACAAATGAATAAATAACAATACCTATGAAAAAGGATTTTTTTTTTCATGTGAAGGATAATTGGGCTTGAAACACTGTGACATATAACAGGGAAGGCAGATTTCTGGATGAAAGCTTGCCTTGATCTCAAATATTGGGTAACTGAAAAAAAAAATCAGAGAAAGCTTTTGTTTGCTATTCATCCTGGGATCCCTAGGAAAGGCTCGCCCATGGGGCTAAGGTGATCCGGTCCACTTTTCTGCGTGTGCCTTAAAAACTTCCCCAGCAGAAAATGAGAAGTCGCCCAGTTCTTCTTCTTTGTAACGTCACGATTAGCTTCCCAAAACGCCCATCACCCTCCCCGTTCGCAGCGCTGCGATCGCCGGGGAGTCCTGAGCAGCAGCTAAGCGTCTCTTCTCCCCCCGCCCCCCACCCCGCCCCGCCGCCCACCCCGCGCCTCCTGCCGCGTGTCCTGCCGCGTGTCCTGCTGTCTCCCTCCGCTGCCCTGGAGCAGTGCCGACCTCGCCCCCGCAGAACGTGCAGGTGGAAGCCGTGAACTCCACGACCATCCAGTTCCTGTGGAACCCTCCACCCCAGCAGTTCATCAACGGCATCAACCAGGGCTACAAGGTAGGCACCTTGAGCCACAGCCTCTGGGCGGCTGCCGTGGTGTGTCACGGTCTTGTGATGAGTGAGGGGGCTGCCCGCCCCTCATTTCATCAGGAACCCACGGCATCTGGTTACAGAGTGTGTTGACCTTCTGGGGTCACCTTTTATCCAGGGTCTTTTCATCAGCTATACTGGTTCAGAAACTCAAATTATTGGTTATCAAGAGGATGGTGCACGGGAATTCCCTGGCGGTCCAGTGGTTAGGACTCGGTGCTTTCACTGCCGAGGGCGCAGGTTCAGTCCCTGGTGGGGGAAATAAGATCCCGCAAGCCGCGCAGCATGGCCAAAAAACAAAAAGAAAGAAAAAAAGAGGACGGTTCATATAGAACTGAGCAATGTTATGAGAAGAGCCGTCCATTTTAAAATGCCCAGTGGGCGACTTATCCCTGTTGATTGGAATCGGCATGTGTACACTTCTTCCTGGAAGGGCGCCCTCCCAAAGCGCACTGGGTGCAACTGAGTGATGTTTCTACCAAGTAAGGATAAGTAGGTCCCCCTCTCGCTACTTTAGGGAAAGTTCTGTTTGTAGAACTGGGACCAGCTGACTCGGGGCACCTATCCGGACTGAATTAGAGACAAGGACAGACTCCTATCTGCCCTTTGTCTGAGTACCAGAATATGTTACCTTCAGAGATGTACCTGGATGCAGTTTCCAAAAGTACAGGTTACGTTTCCTTTTAGATCAGCATCTCCTGGCTGGCCTGGGAGACCATCTGAATGTTACCTGCAGCATGTTCGCAAATCTTCTGTGACAGCAGGTGAACTCAGGGAGTATCTTTATAGAGAGTTTGCTTGAAAACTTGGTCATTTCAGATTCAGAGAGTGTTATTGCCTCAGACACACAGTTAATTTTTTTTTCCAATTTTTTTTCCATTTGGATTCAACTTACTAAAACACTTGGTTTTCACTAGAAAGGCAGACGTAGCTAGAAATTTGTCCTGCCTTTTTTTTCCCCCCAGAGGTATCTACAGTCAGAAGCTCCTTAGAAAGGAAATCATATTGATCAACGAGGTGGATTCTCCCTTCTTGACTCTCCTGTCAGGTCTTATTGGCAAGACTGGGGTGTTCATTCGATGGCTTGGTTGTCAGCCTAAAATCTATATAAATATGCTCCTTGTTCTGCAGTGTCAATTTTCAGACCTAATTAACCCTAGAAATGTTTGGTGTCAGAGGAATTAAAAGTCACACTCATACATAATTGTTGCCAAAACATTAAAACAACTTCCCTTGGAACGTGTATATGTACTATATTTCTTTAAAATTATTATCAGTCTCCTAAAATCCTTTTTAGAAAACTGGTGTCATATAAATTATAAATAATTACCGTTGCTCCCATTGAACCAGGGGCTTCTTTTTGAATCAGCAGGTGGCTAACTAGAAAAGTGTTTGTACTGATGTTTGATTGCACTGATGCAGCTGAATGACGGTAATGTCACCATTATTTCTAAATGTTAAAAAATAAATATGTTCTGTAACATGTTTAAGTGAACAGAAGGTGAAGGTTTGAGGAGTGTCCATTTTCCCAATATGAGTTAGAGTAGATATTTTATTTATGTACACATGTATAAAATATATATATAAGTATACATATTTGTACTCAATAATCTATGAGATATCTTTTAAACTCAATATTTTTCAGTGAGATTATAAAATGTAGATGTATGGGGTTCCTTAATTACAACTTTGCTTTCTTCGAAGACATTTTAATTGTGAAATAAAATTCTGGTGCAGACTTGAGGGTGAAGACATGCAATTAAAAGGATCTCTTTTTCACCCTGTTCCATCCCAGCTTCTGGCGTGGCCAGCCGATGTCCCCGAGGCCGTCACTGTCGTCACCATTGCTCCAGATTTCCATGGAGTCCACCACGGGTACATCACGAATTTGAAGAAGTTTACTGCTTACTTCACATCAGTTCTGTGTTTCACCACTCCGGGGGACGGGCCTCCAAGCGCGCCTCAGCTCATACGGACACATGAAGACAGTCAGTACTCCTTTCCAAGTTCTTATCGATAGCCTTTAGCCAATTGTCAAAGAGGTTTGGGCCACTGTCGTATCCAGCACAGGGGAGGAGCAAGGGTGGGTCTCTAGGAAGCTCCGTGTTCTCAGTGTGTTCACAGTCTGCTCACCCTGGAGAGGTAAGTCATTGAAAGTAGTAATAATGTTTGGCAGAGATGGTCTGTGGAATATGGAAGGAAGCCTGGCTAGAGGAAGGAGCTGTGAGGACAAGAGGGACAGTCCAGTCCCAGCTGTACAGTCAGCCTTTGGTCTTGTCTTGCTAGACTTCTCTTCGCTCAGATTTCAACTTCCAATCCCCTTACCTTCTTCTTGAATCTCCCCGTAAAGCCTCCCAGCCCATGTCTTCCCCGACCTTCCCCAGGGGAATCTCACCTGCGCCTCTCTAAGACCCTGGACTTTCCATTATCTCCAGCTGGTCAATTCAGATCAGGTGTTTCTCTGCTCCTAGGCCAACTGATGCTTCTGGAAAACATTCTCTGAGAAAATGATCACAGATGTGCATAAAGATTTATATACAATGAGGTTAATTACAATTATTAGTAATTGAAAAAAAAATGAAAAACATTCAAATGTTCCAAAGGGGGATAATTGAAAACCTATGGAATGACAATATACTAAATATTTTGTAGTTATTAAAAAGAAGTTTTGCGAGGAAACGGTCTTGATCTCATGTTACATGGTAAAAAAAAACAACAGTATACAAAACTATATGAGTTACAAATTTTATACAAATACACTTGTATAAGACCATATTAGCTGAGAAAAGACCTTGAAGGAAATACATCACAATTCCGACAGTTGTTATCTCCATGTGACATGATTATGGGTATCTTTTACTATTTTCTTCTTATTTCTCTGCATATTCTCTTTGCTACAGTGAGTATGTACTCTTTTATAAGGAGAATTTATAAGTTTAAAAAGGCTGCCACTTGTCTCTCCTCCAGCTTCCTCCTCTCCCATCTCAGCTGGGCTCTGGGTGTGGTCTGACCTTCTGTACTTATCTCTGCTCGGTGCTGTCATCCACTGCTCCGCTCTGTCCTGCCCCCTGAGACCCAGCTTCACTGTCCTCCTAGCAGTGACACTTACAGAGGTCAAGGCCGTGCAAGTTGAGCTTCCTCGCTTCCCCCCCTTCCACCTGAGTTTCCCTACGTTCTCACTCTTGGTCCTCTTCCCTCCTCTCTCAGAGGATGAAGAGTCTGACCTTTCCTCAGCCCACAAGTATGCTCAGGTCTCCCTCACCCAGAAGTGCCAACTCCCTGACCATGCTGCCCACTGAGTCACCCAGCTCTCAGTATAAACGATTACTCTGACTCCTAACCTCTCCCGCTCCCCATAACCCGTAGCCACCTGGCTTCCACTCCACTACTCTGCTGTAACCGCCTTGAATTGACTCAAGGTCTGTGTCAAATTAGTGACACAGGAAGAATAGAAATGGATTTCTTGACCCTCTGAGACCACTGATATTCCTCCCATTAAAAAGATAAAAAGTAACTCTGCCACTATTAACTGGTCCCTGATGTTCTTTCCATACTCTGACTTTGATCTGCTATCTGCTTTTTGTTTAACTGAAATTTTATTGAGATAGTTACAGATTCACATGAACTTGTAAGAAATAATACTAAGATCCCATGTACACTTTGCCCAGTTTCCATCAATGGTAACACTTGCAAAAGTATAGTACATCACAACCAGGATATCTACATTGATGCAACCCATCGATCCAATTTAGATCTCTGCAGTTTTACTTGTTCTCGTGTGTGTGTGCGCGCGCGCATGCGCACATGTGTGTTTAGTTCTATGCAACTTATCACGTGTATAGATTTGTGTATCTACCATCACAATCAAGATACTGCATGGTTCCAATACCACAAAGATTCTTCTTTTATAGACGTATCCATGTCCTGCCCTTTCTTCCTTTCTAATCTATATGTCCTTTATTTCTTTTTCTTGCCATATTGCAATGACTAGAATTTCTAGCACTATGTTGAATAAGAGTGGTGAGAGCAGACATTCTCGCCTTGTTCTTGATCTTAGAGAGAAAACATTTGGTCTTCCACTGTTAAGTATGATATTTCTCATAGCTGTTCTTTATCAAGTTGAGGTAATTTCCCTCTGATATTAACTTGCTGAGAGTTTTTGTCATGAATAAATGTTGAATTTTTTCAACTGCTTTTACAGCATCAATTGATATGACCATATGATTTTTCTTTTTAGTTTGTTAATTGATAAGGTGGATTGATTTTCAAATGTTGAACCAACCTTGCATGCTTGGAATAAATCCCACTTGGTCATGGTGTATATTTATTGTTCATGTTGTGGGATTCAGTTTGCTAATACCTTATGGAAGATGTTTTACATCTAAGTTCATGAGAGATATTGGTCTGAAATTTTACTTTACTGTATTTATTGTCTTTGTCTGGTTTTGGTATCAGCATAATACTGGCCTCATAAAATAAGTTCGTACTCTTCTGTTTTCTGGAAGAGATTGTGTAAAATTGGTATTAATTCTTCTTTAAATGTTTGGTAGAATTTTTCAGTGAAATCCTCTGTTCCTGGAGAGTTCTTTTTTGGGAGTTTTTAAGTTATAAATTCAGTTTCTTTAATGGTTATAGTACTGTTCAGTCGTCTATTTCATTTTGGTAGTGTGTGATTTTCAAGGAATCAATCCACAAAGTTGTTGAATTTCTGAGTGTAAAGTTGTTGGTAGTACTTCCTTATTGTTTTTCTAGTGGCTGCAAAATATGTAGTCATATTCCCTATTTCATTCTTTCTTCTGTTTTTTGTGGAGGTTTTTGGTCATTCTTCCTAGAAATTTATCAATTTTATTGATTTTTTTGAAGAACCGCTATCTTGTTTCATTAATTTTTCTCTATTGTTTTCTTATTTTCAATTTCATGGATTTCTGCTCTTATATTTCCCTCTGCTTGATTTGGGTTTATTTTGCTTTGCTGTTTTTAATTTCTTGGGGTAAGCACTTAGGTGATTGATTTGAGGTCTGTCCTCATTTCTGATGTAAGCATTTAGTGTTATAAATTTTCCTCTTCACACTGCTCTAGTTGCATCCCACATATTTTGATACGTTCTGTTTCATCTTCACTGAGCTCTATACATTTTTATTTCGTTTGAGACTTCTTCTTTGACCCATGGATTATTTAGAAGTGTGCCATTTAATTTCCACGTGTTGGAGATTTTCCTGTTGTCTTTCTGCCATTGACTTCTAGCTTGGCTCCATTACAGTCAAAGAACACACTTTGCATAATTTCACTTCTTTTAAATTTATTGAGGTTTGTTTTATGGCCCAGAACATGATCAGTCTCAGTTAAGGTTTCATGAGTTCTTGAAAATATAATGTGTATTCTGCTTTGGAATCTGCCTTATAATTATAAACTTTCTATAGCCCTCACCAGATTTTAGGATTAAAAGAGACAGTTGGTCAGATGTAGCCTTCTCTTTTTTCAAAAAACATTAAGGCTACCTCATCAAGTTCTGTGCGTACTGGGCCTGTCATAATTACAGGGGATTCATTCATCCATCTATCCAACATACAAACATGTATATGTACTTCCATTCCGAGGTTTGTAGAATACCTATTATGTGAGAGGTAGCCAGCTACGTGTTGAAGGGGGAGCAGAGATAAGTAAGCACAGCCTCTGCCTTTAGAGCTCCCAGCCTAATCAGATCTGAGGTGGACAGGACTGAGGTCAGTGCCACTGAGGAAGGAGGTCGTTAGCAGTGGCTGTGGCAGCCCAGTGAGCAGTGACAGAAAATACCTGGGGGAGTCAGGTCAGTCCTGTGGAGGAGCTGAGAACTGAGGTCAGCCCTGATGGATGAGCCAAGAATGGTTGAGAAGAGATAGAGCCCGTGAAGGCAGAGAGAGTAGAAGAGCGAGGGGGGGGGGGGG